TCTTTCCTCCCCTCGCGGGGGGCGAGCGGGGGGCAGCCGGGAGCGCGCAGGTCGCGGCTGCGGGGGCACAGCAGCTCCCTCGGGGAGGAGCGCTTCGAACGAGCCGCCGGGAGGCAGCGAAGGAGTGCCGCGGCGGAGCTACCACTGGCGGGCCATGGGGAGCCTGAAGGAAGAGCTCCTGAAGCCCATCTGGCACGCTTTCACCGCCCTCGACTTGGACAAGAGCGGCAAAGTCTCCAAGTCGCAGCTGAAGGCAAGTCGAGGAGAGAGCGCGCCCCGGACAAGACGAGGGGATGGGGCGGCTGGGGCAGCTTCTGGGGGCCTCGCGGGGAAGCCCTTCTGCTGCCCTCGGCGGCGCCTTCGCTGGGCACTTCCCCTTTTTGGCGGACGCGGCGCTCTTCCAGGCTGGGGGAGAGCGGCAGGGAGCGGGGCGCGGAGTAAAGGGTGGGTGGCACCGGCTCCGCTGCTAAGCCGGGTTATCACACCCCGCTTCTTCTCCGCCTGGAAAAGCTTTTCCTTGGTTTTTCACAGGGGCGTAGGAAGGCGGTTCCGGGAGCATTTTGTCTTTTGGGCTCAGAGCTAAAACAGATGGAGGTCCCTTGGGTTGGGAGATGGCGGGGGCAGAGGCAGGTCTGGTTCCTCCCAGGTGAGATGACTTCATTTGCAGAAAGGCTTCCTTTTACGTGTACTTCTTGCAGGACCTTACTTAAGAGCTTTGTTCACATGAGCCATTGGTTGCTGTATCAGTGTTTATGAAGTGAGCTGCGATTGTGTGGGTTCACGCGACATGCTGAGCACAAAGCATGTTTTTAGGTTCCAGAGGCTGGGTTCAGACAATATTTGAAGCCAAAATCAAATAAACCACGTAATTACTTAGTGTGATATTTGAACTCAGGCAGGATTTGGAGTTGGTAACTCTTGATCACAGCAACCTTGGGTTCAGTTTGGGAGAGTCCAGAAATCAAAGGTGAGCCTCTGAGGGACCTATAGTAACAGTCTCCCCCCTTCACCAGGCCCACCGTTTGGTTTCTGTTGGTTGGAGATTGAACGCATTTTTTTCTCTAGATGAGGTTTAATTTTTTATGGATCCAAGTGAAAGAATCCACTAGCACAGGACCCAGCATGCAGGTTTCTAATTACTAGCCCATTTTTATCAAGAACCCTAGATAAAAAGAGAAGTTTTTTTTCCCCCTTGATACCCGAATGAGGATATTATGTGGTAACTCAGGTGCTATTTTGTTTTGACCAGTTTAAAGCAATTATAAAATAAGAAGCTAATATGAAAACTGCAAGGACTCGTCCAAGCAGTCACTGCAGAGTCGGTAACGACTGAGCGCAGATTAAAAAAAAAATGGCATTCACGTGTATTTTCTGTGCAGCGTGACTCTTAGGGGCACTTGACTATCAGCTATGGTGCGTTTAATGTAAATGTGATGATGTTGGATAACTAATTTTGCTGTGTGTCCATTTTGTAATTTAGGATGAGTTCATTGTCCATTCAGATATAGGCATGCTAGTGTTTTGTAAATGCTGAAATAGCTAAATGTGCAGGAGTTATATCCCAAACAGCTTACATGCCAAATGTATGCATTATGCAGGTGTTTCAGTGCAGATTGGAGGTTACACACATGTACTCATATTCTCAACATATTTGATTCAGAGACAGTGTTATACCATTAGGCAGAGAGAGCTGATTTATCTTAAGATGGCTAAATGTGACATACTTTTAAAGGGCAACAAACTGTTAATCATTGATTTCATTGGATCTGTGCAAGAGACAGAATCTGTGGTAGAATGCCCAATTTTCATTGAAAAAACGAGGTTCAGTCCTGGATAGTTTCAAATAAAAATTGAGAATTCCCTTGTCATGAAGAGCTACTGCCAGTCAGATAGACAAGACTGCCTTAGCCAGATTAATGCCTTGATTGGGAGTAAAGCAATTTCCACTGTTTTCTAAATTTTGCAGCTTTGTAATATGTTCTTTGTCTACCTCGGATATCAAAATATTTCGGCCATCTCTAAGAATATTCTCTAATACTGTTTGTTGTGGGTGTAGATACATGAAAGTGAATCAAATAAGATAAAGATGGCCTTGAGTTGAGTTTAGCCCCTTGGTGACAAAACCACAGTGACATGGAAATAATATGCAGTTTTCATGGCAACGGTGCTGAAGTGATTTTGCCATTGCCTTCTTCCGTGACGTTTTACAACTTCCCAGTACAGCCTGTATAGGTCTGGTATTCCCTGGTTGTCTCAATCCAAGTACTAACCAGGCCTGACCCAGTTTAGCTTCTTAACCCAGACATGGTAGATCTGTTTAGACTACTGAAAGTGAATAATGGTTCTTATTCTAGAGTTGTCTCTAATTTATTCTAGTTAATAGAATTTAGCTTGAATTTCTGGAACAGTTTGGGAAGATATAAAACTGCCTTATATATAAACAATATCTTCTTCTAGTCCTTGGGTAAAAAGCAAAGAATCTAGAGGGAGCGTGAGCTTTCCCTGTTCTTTTTCTACACACACGTCCCTTCCTTAGTTGCCACTGGTTTATAGTAGGATAAATTAAACTCAGTGGTTTTAAGGTGGGAGAAGGTGGAAGGGGGAGGAAACACATGTATATGGCTTTTAAAAATATATTCCATTCTTGAGGCGTCCATTTTCTGTTTTACCATACCTAGTTTTGTCCTTGCCCTGATTACATGAGTTCCCCCCCAAAAAACCATAAAACCACTTTATCCTAAAAAGGTTTTGGGCAACAATCTTTCCCATCATCTGTTATTAGATCCTTTTAATTGTCAGGGTGGAACCCGGATCTTCTAAAAAGTTCTACCACTGAGGTGTGATCCCTCCTTTAGTAGTCAGAATGGGATCCCAAAAATTTGTTTGACAGTATGTTTTGAAACAAGGCGTAATTCTATCATTAGTTTGGGATGTGGAGCTCCCCTGTTTAAAAATTCTTAAGTGATTAAGCACAATGATATCAGGCACAAACAATTATTGAGCTAAAAATTAAATTTGGCCTAGAAGACTCTGCCGCATTTGCTGTAGCATGTGTTCAAATATTGATGAATTATAATTGTTCCATGCTGTAGGTGTTTTTGTGTTGTGTAAATGAAGAGCATAGAATCTTAGCTATCTCAGGCCATGACTGGACTGCCGGGCACAACTGGAATGTAGCTAATAAAGACATTTTTATTATAAGAATTATTCCATGATTGGATTTCATATTTAACTTACAGTGGGACAAAAAAGTATTTAGTCAGCCACCAATTGTGCAGGTTCTCCCACTTAAAAAGA